AAACCTCGTGTCCTCGGTCGTTTGCTCTTTCTTCTTTTCGGTCGTTCATAACAATTTTCCAGATGCCCTTCTTCTTCGTTGGCTTTTGAACCATTGTCTCCATTGTTCAGGTAAAGCTCTTTGGATTAATGTATTATTTTAGTTTTTTTGTTATTAGGACAGCGGAAAACATGTGTTGATTTTTTATACTTAATTGAGACAGTTTGTATGTAATTGTATGTGTCTGTGTGAGCAATGAGATTGAATGATTAATTGAGAAATTGATAATCTAGTATTGAAAGAAACTTTAAACGTAGCTATGGTGTTCGATAAAATTCCTCAAAGAAGTAATGCAAACTTTGACTAAAGATTTATTTCATTTACTTTATTTGTCTTAAAAAAGGAGTTGAGAATTGTAAGTTTGTCTATTTCTTAATCTTCAGTTGATGAGATATATATGATTACCACCTTCTTGATTGATAGTAATGTTAAAGTTTTAGGAAATTCAATAGTTTATTAATGTTAATTTCTGGGCTTTCTTCTTTTCCTTCATATGCATAATTTATTTGTGTGCTGACTTGACAATCTCAAAGTCTTCTGCTTCTTATTTGGCAAAGAAGCAATAGGATGAGGTGTGCCGACTGTTTGACAGGAAGTTGAGACCATCATAAGGTGTTGCTTGACTTATTCATGATAAACTAGAATCATCATTGGGTGATCTCTCAAGGGCAGGGGATGTTCAAGCTTGCCAAGCTGCTCGAAAAGAAGCTGATGGCGCTTTGAAGAGCTTTCCAATGACTGCCATCATTGTACTCCTTCCAACAGGCTGCTTCAATCTGCCCCAAGGTCAAAAGAGATGGTAAAGAAGGAAACGGAAATTCCAGAGAAAGTGACACTGATGCATTTACTAGTCATAGATTGTTATGAGAAAAAGTCAAGGGGGCATGACATTAAAAAAACGTGTTGCTCAAATCTAGGAAAGAATTACATCCTTGCGGCACGAAGTTGATGAATTTCTTGAAATAATCAATGATATATAGTTTGCATACTTAACATTTCTCTTGACCTCTAACAAACATATTGAAATTTTGTTATATGTATTGTTGTGTAGTTTGTGTAATAATCTATGTAATAGGCTAAGAGTGGGGTAAGTGTATAAAAATTGTATTATAAAAGTCATAAATATTGTTTCAGGACCATGTGTATTTAAGTTCAAATAGATGCTGCACATTTTGGGATTATTTGTTTGCTAGTGTCCCTTGTGTATTAACATCTTTTTACTGGTTTTTAACTTTTTTTAACACTAGCAGTTTGTTTAAACCTTTATAAACTCATTGTGAGGTTTTAATTGTAGTTGTAAACTGTAGCCATAACTTAATAATAATAAATTAATAATAATATGTTTAATGTAGTATTTTGTACTTAGAATATTTACCTATTTTTGGCATTTTGTTGAAACCGAGTTGGCCGCCTAGTCGGCGACTAGTCGGCGCCTAGTCGCCCTAGGCGCTAGGCGGTGCATTGCCGCCCGACTAGCGCCTAGCGACTTTTAGAACATTGGTTTTACGTAAGCCCCATGTCAATTGTGTTTTGACGTGTTGTAAGGCCTTGTATGTTAGGACATCGTCTTGTCCATTGTCAACGGTTGTTGTGCAAAAAAGAATTCGTTAACGACTTAACGTCGGCCGTTGGCTAGAAGCCAACGGCCCTCCGATGCTTACGTTAGTGATCGTTTTATATGTAAAGGAAAGTAATAAATTAAGAATACGTATATGAAACTAAGTAGAGATATATCGTCAGAACCTATCCATAGTCAGACGGTTTCAATCATCTCGTCAAGTCTATTATCAGACGACATGCCCCCCGTCCGACGTTTCAGCCATGTCGTCTGGTCTATCTTGTCTCAGGAGTGACAATAATAAAAGAGAATAATAAACTGAAAATGAAACAACTTTAACAGTACCGTGTTGCAGCCCATGTCTGCCGATTTCAGTCATGTCGTCTGATCCATCTTGTCATAGAAGTGACGACTCGTTCCTCATGTCTCGAATATGGTTTTCCATGCTTGAAATCATGCCTCCTGGGAGATTCCGACTTCCCGTGTCCCCCTTCGTGCTCAATGTGTCTTCGACGGGATCGTAAGTCTTCTTCTAGACGGATGAAAGCCAACATCTTTGCTTGGACATCTTCGAAGGACCGACAAGCTTATTTCGTCAGTTCATGGTACAACTCCGAATCTTCATACAAACCTCTTGTGAATGCTTCAATGATGGTAGAGACGTCACACTATGGGATCAACACCTTTTCCTTATTGAATCGGTGTACATAATCTCTCAAAGATTCACTCCGTCGTTGGAATACTCGGTAAAGGTCACTGGTCTGTTTTTCTAGGAGCTGACTACTTACGAATAGTTGGTTGAACAGGTTGATGAGTTCTGCGAATGAATCGATTCCTTCGTTAGGCAAATTGACGAACCATGTCAATGTTGGACCCGTTAATGTCGTCCCGAATGCTCTACACATGCAATCTTCTCGTTGCTCTGGCTTGACTGAAATGGTCAACATCTGCTGCTTGTACTGCACAATGTGTTTCAAGGGATCAGAGGTTCCATCGAACAACTTCATTTGTGGGGGAGCGAACTTCCTTGAAATCTCGACGTCAGTGATATGTCATCCCAAGGGAGAATATGCGTAACACGTATGTGAAGCAATATCCAATGGCTGCGGTATTCCAGGAATGCTGTTGGTTTTATCTCGCATCTCCTTCAGCTGTTCTAAGATGACGTACATGGGGTCCGTCAGATCCGCCTGCACTTGTCTTATGATCGGGACGTGTGGTGTAACCACTCGGGTCGCCCCCTTTCTAGTTGGTGATGGGATGACGATGACTTCAGCTTCATGGTGCCTCTGCCTAGAGATGTCAACATGTCTAGTGATGTCGACGTGCTCCGGAACTCGTCATCTTTGAGGTTCTGCAAACAGGTTGTGGAACCCATTCCGTCTATGATTTGGAGGGGGGACGAATTGATTTGACGGTCTCGGTTCTCCAATCGGTGACAAGCCTAACGTGAGAGAGACGGGATCCGTTGTGGTGGTGAGCGGTTCCGTCGTAGGTGAGGTGAAGCTTAGGCCCAGCCTAGAAGCAGCGGTCATTGCGTCGCTCCTTCGATTGTTTCTTAAATTAGAGGCTATGGACACCACCGATTGCACTTGAGATCGTAGTACGTCATTTTCTCGTTGGAGGTGAGCCATCCGTTCTGCCACTTCACGCCGGATTTCTTCTTTCATTGCCTCCAATTGCTTATGAAACTTGGCCATCATCTCGTTGCTCGTTTCTTCCATGTAGAATAGATTTCTTGCACGATTTCCCACAGATGGCGCCAAATTGTTTTAGCAAAATTTTGATAAACTAAAACTAATTAAAATGAAAATTGTATATTGATTGGGTCTCATACAAGAATGGTAAGGAAGATGACAAGAACAACACAAAGATGCTAAAAGAGCAAAACAAAGCGTGATTTAATATGTAATTCGAATGAGAGGCCTCCCTTACAACTGAGCTCGATACTACTTATAGGAGGGGCAAGCAATGCCTTTTTTGTTCGTTGTTGACGGTTTCGACCGTTATGACAACATTCAATGTCGTCATCATGTCGTCATTAATGTCGGTCAGCCCTTCTAAGTAACTGCTGCTTTAATTACATTAATAGCTACAATAATACACATATAACCGCTATAATTAATTACCTAGCATTAATCCTAATAAATATGTCATTAATTGCTTCGGTCAAGTCTTTCAAATGTAGTCCATGCTGTCAGATTCCTGCACCAACATGACTTATAGTGGATATAGACAAAGGGATGATGACGGATAACACAAAGGGGCGGCCTTCTCTGTGGTTGGAACACTCATTGCCGATAAGCAGGTAAAATTCTTTTTCTTTAGACATGTTATGGCATCGATTTGGAGGGATGCAAGTCTCGATTAAATAAATTAACGATAAAAGGTGTATCTTTACCTTTTTTTTAACTCCAGGGGTGTCTAGGGGAGGGGGTTGGGGGAGCCTGGAGTAAGCAGGACTGAAGCTCAATCCATTGAGTTTCCAACCCTTGTGTGCGTAGCGGGATTCAAACTCGAGACCTCCCACTAGGCACGGTAACCTCACAACCAGCTGGGCTGGAATGCTTGGTTAGGTGTATCTTTACCTTTTATCATGTGATTGATATGAAATGTGTGATTGAAAATGGTCCATGATTATTCAAAAAAATTTTGCTAGTCTTGCATGCTTTACATGCGAGTAAGTTACCTTTGAAAGTCTCGTTAACTGAGGTAGATTTTTGGGTGCAAGTTCATAATTTACGTATGAGTTTCTTTACTATGAAAGTTGCAAAACGCTTTAGGACTTCATTAGGAGAATTAGTTAAAGTTAAAGAAAGTTAATTTGAAGATCCATGCAGTGTAACACCGTCCCCAAATGTATTTACTTTTATGTAAATGATGTAATAAACCTTATGGAATGATTTATGAATTTACGAAGTTGTAAATTTTTATTTATTCTTTCGCGTGAATAGTAAATTGCACGTGGGACCCACACCGGGAGCGGGGGCCGCCCGATTTTCCCGAGACCATACATTTTATTCATCATGGTCTAGATAATAAATATGTAGTGGTGGATATTTCATTTGGGCCATGGAAAGGCCCGGAGTTGACCGATTGGTCAAAAGAAGCCCAAATTACCAGTACTGGTAATTTAACTGATAACAGCCCGAACTGAATTTCGGAGGCTTATAAATTAAAGTTGGGGAATGTATATTCATTATACATGTCATAATGAGTAAGAGCACATAATATATTTTATTTGACCCGATAAAATAAAATATATTTAAAACAGTCCGAAAAATACAACTTTCGGGACCGATTGTACACTTCGGGACACAAAGGGTTGACCTCCCACATGAGTGGGGGCCAACCCACGAATTTGGACACTCAATATGGGGTGTTGGCCGCTGGAATGGGAATAGGAAGGTGGGAGGTGTTGGAGATTGAATGGAAAGGCATCAAAAGTACCTAAGGTGGACCCTCATTTTGCACTCATTGGATTAATGAGACAAAAGTCCATTCTCATCCCTCTCCCCTCTTCATTTTCGGCCAAGCTACAGCAAGAAGAGAAAGAAAACTCTTCTTCTTCCTTCCTCCATTGTTGAAGAGAGCTCATCAAAGAAGAATCACCCAAAAAGGAGCTAAAGTGCTAAAAGTGTGAAATAATTAAGGTAATGACCTTATTATAACTTTTTCTTTATTTTTCTTCTACCATATGAAGTATATAGCATATGAAGAACCTTTAGTATGGTTCCATATGTTATAAGTATGGATTCATGGGTTGGAAGGTGGTTCTACGTCCAAAAACGGACTTAGAAGCCAAAACGACCGGTTCACCGGAAAATAACCTTTTAGAGGTTATTTGTATTAATATGGGTTTTATGATTATAAAACCTTGTTAGGCACTTGTAAAGGGTATTTCAAGTGATTTCACAAAGTTGGAAAAGTCGCCGGAGTTGTCGCCGGAGTTGACCAAAAGTCGCCGGAGTTTCACCGGAGTTCAACCAAGAAGGGTGGAACTTCATAACACTAGTTCAAGGTGAGTGGACGGCTTAATATCTTATAACTTTTGGGTTAATTATGAGATTACCTAAATAAATGTTATATGAGTTCATAATGATGTTTAAAAGATATTTAAACATGTGATTAGCCAATAGGGTTAAGTTTGTATAAAAGAAATAAATGATTTATGCATGGAATATGATATGAGGAATTACATAAAATCCATATTTGTTTGAAAGGTATAAGGAACACCAAATGAACATTATCAATTTAATTACATGGTGATTAAGTCGATAAGTGTAAGACTTGAAATGGCGGTCAACGACACCGTTGACCGGTGGATAATGGATTAATTAATATCGGTTGATATTAGTTAGTTATACATTTATAGAATCGCATGGTTTGCATGGATTGTGATACATAAGCTTTATGTATTGAATTAGTTATGAGTAACTAAGTGTGATATAAACTCTATCTAGGTTGATAGAAGGTTGATCATAGGAAAATATTTTGGTGGAGGACCCTAGTACTCAAAAGTACTTAACACTCAAAATTTGGTGGAGGACCCTAGGACTTAAAGTCCTTAACACTCGGATTATAAATTGGTGGAGGACCCTAGGACTTAAAAGTCCTTAACACTCAAACTTGGTGGAGGACCCTAGTACTTAAAAGTACTTAACACTCAAACTTGGTGGAGGACCCTAGTACTTAAAAGTACTTAACACTCAAACTTGGTGGAGGACCCTAGTACTTAAAAGTACTTAACACTCAAAACTTGGTGGAGGACCCTAGGACTTATGAGTCCTTAACACTCGCAAACCGGTGGAGTACCCAAGGATTATGATCCTCAAAACTCATAGATTATGATATTGAAATAGGGACAAGGAGGAGTCCTATACACTCATTGGTATATGGGTGGGTTGGGGTTTTTAGTCAAGAATATTGACTATTACTATTCTTCCCAAATAAAATGGTGATCTACGGATCGGATATTTTCCAAGTATATATTTATACTAATAAGTATTTCATAACTTGGGGGAAAGACTATCTATTTAAGTATCACCCTATGTTTGGGTCTTATACTTGAAACGCTAGTTATTCTATATTTAGCCTGCTACTCGCTCGGTACTTGTACTGACCCCTTCGGGGGGCCCCACCATTTTCAGGTTGAAGCTAGGGCTTGCTACTTGCACCTTCTCACGGGTGGTATCAAATCAGGAAGACGTGGTTCGTGCTTCCTTATTTTCTTTCAAACTACCGAACACTTGCTCATGGATATTTGTTCTACTATAAACTATTTTTGGGGCTTGCATGCCCATGTTGTTGGCCGGTTGTGGCCTATGACTTACCGTTGAATATTTTCCGCTATTCATTGGTTTAAATGTGATGTTGTTATGTATGTTTACTACTGAGTATGGATGGATTGTTTTCTCGAACGCCTTGTGTAATTGAGTGAGGTTGACTCGTGGGTGACGTCACTTAGTTATACGGCGGTTGTACACGCGCTTGGATTGCGGTCTGGGGCGTGACAATTAAGTGGTATCAGAGCCATCTCAGTTCTAAACTATATAATCAACCTCTCACAAAAGATTTTACAAAAGAGTTTTTGCCGAAAACCATGAGCATTGTATTTTGACGTTTATAGGACTATTGGTGCTTAAGTTGCAAGGCCTCTAATTGTTAAGACGGTACCCTTAACAATTGGTATGGTAGTGACTTGGGCCAATACGTGTCTGTAACGTTTTTCCGTCAATTGACATTTATAGGAGTCTAATGACTCATCCATATTTCTTTCAGAAATGGAGGGCAGGCGAATGCGAACCAGGAACAATCCGAGGGGGCAGACGCCGGTAGCATCCCAAAGGGGGAGCCGGGCTGCATCTCGGGGTTCAAGAGGAGGCCGTGGAGGCCGTGGAAGCCGTGGAGGTCACCAAGCTCAAACTGTGAGTGAGGGCCATGTAAGCTCGGTGTATGAAACCAACACCGAAGACTACGACTCTACATATGTTCCGGAAACGGAGCACGAGGAGACCCCATATGATGGGGGTGACACATACACCGATGATGATGATGAAGAGAGTGATGCCAAGTTCGCCCAAATGGGCGAATTGCTTGAGTGGTATCAAAAAGAAAAGTTGAGGAGAGACCTTAGGCGCCAAGCAAGGCGTGGCTCTCGCGGTGGTTCGGGTCAAGGAAGCCGGGGAGCTTCAAGAGCCACTCCCGTGGCGCCACACGATGGGCGTGAAGGAGGTTTTTGTGTGAGAATCTCCAAGTACCTCAAGGAGGCTAGGGCCTTGGGGTGTAAGTCCTTTGACGGCACCGGTGACATTACCGTTGCCGCCGATTGGATAAAGAAGGTGAAGGATGCGGCAAAGGACATGCAAATTTCACCGGACGTGAAGTTGACTGTTGCTTCACGGCTGCTTGAGGGGATAGCTTCCACGTGGTGGGAGAGTGTGGAAGGAAAATACCATGGGGAGGTCTCATGGTTGAACTTTGAGCAGGAGTTTTATGACCAATACTACACTGACTATGAGAAAAATGTCAAGCGTAGGGAGTACACCAACCTCAAACAGAAGGAGGGTGTGTCTGTTAAACAACTGGAGCAAGATTTTAGAACCTTGGCTAGGTTCTTACCGGAGTACGCGATCAATGAGGACCGCATGTCGGAGCACTTTTGGGATGCCTTACTCTTGGACATCCGTGATCGGGCTACGTACTCACGCCACATGACCTTTAGCGAGGTGGTGGAGCAGGGCCTTCTTGGGGAGGCTCAATGGAATGAGAGAAAAGAAAGAGACGCCGAGGAGGCGAAAAAGAGAAAATGGCATAATTCGGGGCCGCCCGAGCAAGCACGGAAGAATCACCACGGTGGGGGTGGGGGTACGTTCAAGGCGCCGGCACCACCGGCGAAGAAGAACAAGGATGCTCGGTGGCACGCATCCTCCTCTCAAAATACGGGGCCTCCTAAGTGTGCCAACTGTTCAAAGAACCACTTCGGGAAGTGCAACGCACCCCCGAGGTGTTATCGGTGTGGGAACACGGGCCACATGAAGGCCAATTGCCCACAATTGGGGGGAGGAGGAGCTCCGGGATCCGGAGGAGGAACCATGACGGGAAGAAACCGTGCGGGCCCGTCAAACGGCGGTACGGGAAGAGGCAACCCATCCACAAGTCATGCCGCGTCCGTAAACCAAGGCGGGACCCAAGCACGAGTCTACGCGATGACCGAGGCGGATGCGAGAGCAAACCCGGACTCCGTTGCAGGTAATACGCGTATTCCCATGTATTTCTAGGCTTACTTTGATCATATACGTCGTTGGGATTGAGTGTGGGCCACCCCGGGGTCGAACCGGGTGAGTTAGGCCGAATCTGGCTGGAAACAGCCACTGCCGGCCAGGCACGCCATCAGGCACGCCGTGCCTGGAATCGTGCCTGGAAGGCAGTGGCACCCGAAGAGAAAAGAGAAAAAAAAAAAATTTGGGCCAGGCACGGCCGCAGGCACGCCGTGCCTGGCGTCGTGCCTGGGAGGCAGTGGTGTCCGAAGAAGTTTTGGCCAGGCACGGCCGCAGGCACGCCGTGCCTGGCATCGTGCCTGGCCGGCAGTGGACAGCAGGGTGAGTTTGTTGCACGCACGGCCGTGCCTGCCACCCAGGCACGCCGTGCGTGGACCCCCAACACCCGAAAGTTGATTTTTTCGCCCCGTTCTTCTACGTTTGGACCCCCGTTTGATTCCAAACATTTGTATGAACCTAATAACATCCTAATGATGTGTAAAAACATTAGAAAATGTATCTTACATGGTGTATAAATGTAGGAACATTAAAGATCAATGGTAGGTGTGCGAGGATCCTCATCGATACCGGGGCACAACGCTCATTTGTGAGTGAGGCGTTCGCCGAGGGCCTTGACGTGCCATTGACACCTATGACTCAAACGTTGCTAGTCTCCACACCGTTAGGAGACGACGTGGAGAGAAATCATTACTATCCGTCGTGTGAGGTAGAAGTGACGGGTCAACCTTTGACTTGTGATTTCGTACCTCTAAGCATGTTGGAGTTCGATGCAATCCTAGGAATGGATTGGCTCGAGAAACACCATGCCCGAGTAGATTGCTACACCAAGGTGTTGGAGCTCGAGGATGATCAAGGGAACACGCTATGCTTTGAGGGAGATCGGGGGAAATCTAGTGCTTGTATCATATCCGTGATGAGAGCACGGAAGATGATGAGGAAGGGATGCCACGCGTACCTTGCCTACGTGGTGGACGATACCAAGAAGGAAGTCGACATCAAAGATGTACGGATCGTGTGCAAGTACCCGGATGTCTTTCCCAAAGACCTACCGGGGCTTCCACCCGACAGAGAGATAGAGTTTGTAATTGAAGTGGAGCCGGGAACCAAACCTATTTCGGTTCCTCCTTATCGAATGGCACCGGCCGAACTCCAAGAGTTGAAGGTCCAACTACAAGAATTACTGGACAACGGGTTCATCAGACCCAGTCATTCACCGTGGGGGGCACCCGTACTCTTCGTGAAGAAGAAGGATGGTACACTAAGAATGTGTATTGACTACCGACAATTGAACAAGGTCACAATCAAGAACAGGTATCCCTTACCGAGGATTGATGACTTGTTTGACCAACTTCGGGGGGCAATAGTGTTCTCGAAGATTGATTTGAGGTCGGGGTATCATCAGTTGAAGATCAAGGAGAGCGACATACCTAAGAGTGCATTCCGCACTAGGTATGGTCATTACGAGTTCCTTGTAATGTCATTTGGTTTAACCAACGCACCGGCGGCATTCATGGACTTGATGAACCGGGTGTTTAGTGAATACTTAGATCAATTTGTGATAGTATTCATTGATGATATCTTGATATACTCCAAGAGTGAGGAGGAGCACGAGCATCATTTGGGGCTTATACTTGATCGGCTAAGGGAAAAGCAACTCTTTGCCAAGTTCTCTAAATGCGAATTTTGGCTCAAGGAGATTGGTTTTCTCGGTCACGTCATATCCGGTTCGGGCGTAGCTGTGGATAACGCAAAGATAAAAGCTATCATGGATTGGGAGAGACCCAAGAATGTGAAAGAGATACGTAGTTTCCTTGGCTTAGCGGGATACTATCGTAAATTTGTTGAAAAATTCTCCGTATTGGCGTCTCCATTAACGAAGCTCACAAAGAAAGGGGCCAAGTTCATATGGGACGACAAGTGTGAGAAAGGGTTCCTTGAACTGAAGAAACGACTTACCGAAGCACCAGTCCTTGCCCTACCCATACAGGGGATAGGGTATGACATTTACAGCGATGCTAGCATCCAAGGGCTTGGATGTGTACTAATGCAAAACGGTAAGGTGATTGCCTATGCTTCTAGGCAATTGAGAAAACACGAGGTGAACTACCCTACTCACGACCTAGAGTTGGGGGCGGTAGTGTTTGCATTGAAGATTTGGAGGCATTATCTCTACGGGGAAACGTGTCACATTTATACCGATCATAAGAGCTTGAAGTATGTATTCACTCAAAAAGAGTTGAATATGAGACAAAGGAGATGGATGGAGTTGATCAAGGACTATGACTTGATCATCAACTATCATCCCGGAAAGGCCAACGTAGTGGCCGACGCACTGAGCAGGAAGAGTACGTCAGGGACGTTACTTACTTGTCTGCAGGCATTGAGGGCACGCGTGGAGGTGTCCACGTGCGGGGCTCTCATTGCTCAATTTGAGGTTAGGCCCACCCTATTGGGCGAGATTAGTCGAAGTCAGGCCATGGATGAGGAATGTCAGAAGATCCGTGAAAGGATCCTTGCGGGGCCCGTTGAGAATTTCCGGGTACGTGATGACGGTCTGTTATTGTTTAAGGATCGTGTGTGCATACCAAGGAATGAGGAACTCCAGAAATCTATACTTGAGGAGGCTCATTCTTCAGCTTATGCTATGCATCCAGGAGGTACTAAGATGTACCGAGATTTGAAGGAAAGTTACTGGTGGTCAGGTATGAAGAGAGACATTGCTGAGTATGTGAGTCGGTGCCTTACTTGCCAGCAAGTTAAGGCAGAGCATCAGCACCCGGCAGGGCTTTTGCAGCCACTCACCATCCCAGAGTGGAAGTGGGAGCACGTGACCATGGACTTCGTGGTGGGGCTACCACGAACAGTGAACAACTATGATGCAGTTTGGGTAGTGGTTGATAGGCTCACCAAGAGTGCACACTTTTTGCCTATCAACATTACTTATCCTCTTGAAAGATTGGCCAAGCTTTACACGGAGGAGATTGTGAGATTACATGGAGTCCCGATATCCATTGTCTCGGATAGGGATCCACGATTCACATCCCGATTTTGGCCAAAGTTTCAAGCATCGCTGGGTACTAAACTGAAGTTTAGCACAGCTTTTCACCCACAGACGGATGGACAGTCCGAGCGGGTGATACAGATTTTGGAAGACATGCTTAGGGCATGTGCTTTGGAGTTCCAAGGAAGTTGGGACAAGCATTTGGCCCTAGTGGAGTTGGCTTATAACAACAGTTATCAAGCAAGTATCGGCATGCCTCCATATGAGGCATTGTATGGGAGGAAATGTAGAACACCGTTGTGTTGGGACGAGGTTGGCGAGGCCAAACTCGAAGGGATAGAGCTGGTTGAGATTACCAAGGCCAAGGTAAGGATCATTCGGGATAGATTGAAGGCTGCTCAGGACCGACAGAAGAGTTATGCTGATAAACGGCGGAGACCGTTGGAGTTCGAAGTCGGTGATGAGGTCTTCCTAAGGATTTCTCCTTGGAAGGGCATCATTCGATTTGTATCGAGGGGAAAGCTTAACCCCCGATACATTGGTCCATTTGAGATCCTTGAAAGGATTGGAGCCGTGGCTTATCGTCTCAAGTTAACGCCGGAACTTGAGAAGATACATGATGTGTTTCATGTATCAATGCTCAAGAAGTACATACGGGATCCCTCTCATATTCTTGAGAAACCGCCAGTAGAGATCCGTGAGGATTTGCAATATGCGGTAGAGCCGGTGAAGATAGTGGGTCAACAAGTGAAGAAACTTAGGAATAAGGAGATTCCTATGGTAAAGGTTCTTTGGAGGAGTGATCGAGTCGAAGAAGAAACATGGGAGACCGAGGTCTCAATGAGGGAGCAATACCCGTTTCTTTTCGATTAGACACACGGATTTCGGGGACGAAATCCCAAATAAGGGGGGGGTGAACTTGTAACACCGTCCCCAAATGTATTTACTTTTATGTAAATGATGTAATAAACCTTATGGAATGATTTATGAATTTACGAAGTTGTAAATTTTTATTTATTCTTTCGCGTGAATAGTAAATTGCACGTGGGACCCACACCGGGAGCGGGGGCCGCCCGATTTTCCCGAGACCATACATTTTATTCATCATGGTCTAGATAATAAATATGTAGTGGTGGATATTTCATTTGGGCCATGGAAAGGCCCGGAGTTGACCGATTGGTCAAAAGAAGCCCAAATTACCAGTACTGGTAATTTAACTGATAACAACCCGAACTGAATTTCGGAGGCTTATAAATTAAAGTTGGGGAATGTATATTCATTATACATGTCATAATGAGTAAGAGCACATAATATATTTTATTTGACCCGATAAAATAAAATATATTTAAAACAGTCCGAAAAATACAACTTTCGGGACCGATTGTACACTTCGGGACACAAAGGGTTGACCTCCCACATGAGTGGGGGCCAACCCACGAATTTGGACACTCAATATGGGGTGTTGGCCGCTGGAATGGGAATAGGAAGGTGGGAGGTGTTGGAGATTGAATGGAAAGGCATCAAAAGTACCTAAGGTGGACCCTCATTTTGCACTCATTGGATTAATGAGACAAAAGTCCATTCTCATCCCTCTCCCCTCTTCATTTTCGGCCAAGCTACAGCAAGAAGAGAAAGAAAACTCTTCTTCTTCCTTCCTCCATTGTTGAAGAGAGCTCATCAAAGAAGAATCACCCAAAAAGGAGCTAAAGTGCTAAAAGTGTGAAATAATTAAGGTAATGACCTTATTATAACTTTTTCTTTATTTTTCTTCTACCATATGAAGTATATAGCATATGAAGAACCTTTAGTATGGTTCCATATGTTATAAGTATGGATTCATGGGTTGGAAGGTGGTTCTACGTCCAAAAACGGACTTAGAAGCCAAAACGACCGGTTCACCGGAAAATAACCTTTTAGAGGTTATTTGTATTAATATGGGTTTTATGATTATAAAACCTTGTTAGGCACTTGTAAAGGGTATTTCAAGTGATTTCACAAAGTTGGAAAAGTCGCCGGAGTTGTCGCCGGAGTTGACCAAAAGTCGCCGGAGTTTCACCGGAGTTCAACCAAGAAGGGTGGAACTTCATAACACTAGTTCAAGGTGAGTGGACGGCTTAATATCTTATAACTTTTGGGTTAATTATGAGATTACCTAAATAAATGTTATATGAGTTCATAATGATGTTTAAAAGATATTTAAACATGTGATTAGCCAATAGGGTTAAGTTTGTATAAAAGAAATAAATGATTTATGCATGGAATATGATATGAGGAATTACATAAAATCCATATTTGTTTGAAAGGTATAAGGAACACCAAATGAACATTATCAATTTAATTACATGGTGATTAAGTCGATAAGTGTAAGACTTGAAATGGCGGTCAACGACACCGTTGACCGGTGGATAATGGATTAATTAATATCGGTTGATATTAGTTAGTTATACATTTATAGAATCGCATGGTTTGCATGGATTGTGATACATAAGCTTTATGTATTGAATTAGTTATGAGTAACTAAGTGTGATATAAACTCTATCTAGGTTGATAGAAGGTTGATCATAGGAAAATATTTTGGTGGAGGACCCTAGTACTCAAAAGTACTTAACACTCAAAATTTGGTGGAGGACCCTAGGACTTAAAGTCCTTAACACTCGGATTATAAATTGGTGGAGGACCCTAGGACTTAAAAGTCCTTAACACTCAAACTTGGTGGAGGACCCTAGTACTTAAAAGTACTTAACACTCAAACTTGGTGGAGGACCCTAGTACTTAAAAGTACTTAACACTCAAACTTGGTGGAGGACCCTAGTACTTAAAAGTACTTAACACTCAAAACTTGGTGGAGGACCCTAGGACTTATGAGTCCTTAACACTCGCAAACCGGTGGAGTACCCAAGGATTATGATCCTCAAAACTCATAGATTATGATATTGAAATAGGGACAAGGAGGAGTCCTATACACTCATTGGTATATGGGTGGGTTGGGGTTTTTAGTCAAGAATATTGACTATTACTATTCTTCCCAAATAAAATGGTGATCTACGGATCGGATATTTTCCAAGTATATATTTATACTAATAAGTATTTCATAACTTGGGGGAAAGACTATCTATTTAAGTATCACCCTATGTTTGGGTCTTATACTTGAAACGCTAGTTATTCTATATTTAGCCTGCTACTCGCTCGGTACTTGTACTGACCCCTTCGGGGGGCCCCACCATTTTCAGGTTGAAGCTAGGGCTTGCTACTTGCACCTTCTCACGGGTGGTATCAAATCAGGAAGACGTGGTTCGTGCTTCCTTATTTTCTTTCAAACTACCGAACACTTGCTCATGGATATTTGTTCTACTATAAACTATTTTTGGGGCTTGCATGCCCATGTTGTTGGCCGGTTGTGGCCTATGACTTACCGTTGAATATTTTCCGCTATTCATTGGTTTAAATGTGATGTTGTTATGTATGTTTACTACTGAGTATGGATGGATTGTTTTCTCGAACGCCTTGTGTAATTGAGTGAGGTTGACTCGTGGGTGACGTCACTTAGTTATACGGCGGTTGTACACGCGCTTGGATTGCGGTCTGGGGCGTGACATGCAGACCATATATGAGGTTACGAGTATATCTGGACATAGGGAAACCTTTAAAGAGAAAAGTTGAGAAAAGATGAGAGGGAGTTGTTCGGGGTGGATTTAAAGTATGAAAAACTTATGAGTTTCTATTTTATGTGTTGTCTGATTGGTCATGTTGACCGTTCCTGTATTCGGCGTATAATAATGGAGATGGTGAATTAGTCAAGTCATATGGTTTGTGGCTTCGAGCAGGGGAAGATAGAGGTAGAGTGATGAGGGAAGTGGACTGGTTGGTTAGAGATGGTGCACAAGTTGCTGATTGTGGGGAGCAATGGGGAGACTACAGGGGGCATAGTTGGCGGAAGCCAAGAGTGAGACTCAGTTGTAGTTCTTGTGCAAGGGGAGTTTCCATAGAATTTGCATGGAGGGGTTTGTTGCCTGTTAAGTGGGGGGGGGGGGGGGGGGGGAGCCAACGGGGAGGCGAATGTAAGAGAACCCAAAATAGGAAGATCTCATTAAAGGGGCTATGATTGTGGACGAGCCAAAAAATGTGAAAGAGGCGCACCTGAAAATCTAGGCTCACCTAGGTCTTCTCATTTCGTTAAGTACTTAGTTTTTTTTTCATTTAAGATTTTGGATTCTGCTTTTGCTGGGTTGTTTACGTTTTTGCCCGTGATGACTCTTGTTTAGTTTTTATTTATATTATGGGTCAAGCTCAACATAAGATTAGACAACAACACTAAATCAATCATGGTTGGCTTACAATTGCTCATATGGGGATTACCAAGTCATATTGCTTCTCAGTGGCTGATTGATTCAGAGTCTGGTCTAGGGACGTATGGTCGGGTTACGTTTTTTTTGTGTTTTTGTTTTTGTTTTGTCTCTAGAGTCTAGTCTTAATGTCACCTGTTTGGATTCCGATGTGTTAATATAAGTTGTTTTCCCTTAAAAAAAGAGTATTCCAAAGACACTCTTACATATACTTCTACGAAATTCATGCTTAAAAGTAAAAGGAGGTGTTTGGCAATTGGCTGATAGATGTTAGTCGATAGCTAATTGTGAAGGCTGATAGAAGATAGTTGATATGAGTTGTTTGTCAAAGTGTTTGGTAAAGTAATGAAGTAATATCTAATTTACTTAACTAGAGTAACTACTTCACATTTTACACACCAAATTTCATCATATACTCCGTACAGTCCGTAGTATTTTTTTAACGTATGTTCATTTCAAAATATTTATGTTGAGTGGATGACATTACATTTTTTTGAAAACATGGAGAAACATTACATTGAAACACATTACACAAAAAGTATTTTCTGTATGGAGTATTGCTTATTTTAATGATATAGACAAGTAAAATCAGTTAAGAAAAGACGAGATTTTAAATAGCTAGTAACCAAACACTTAAATTGACATATTGAAACGCTCAAATGACTAACATTGGTCAATACAGCCAAAAATTGGCTGAAAGATTTATTACCAAACACCCCCAATTTCATTGCAAACTAAATTACAATTTACAATTCTTATGATCGAGTAACGATAAAATTAAATCATTTTTGCAAGTAATTAAATTTATTTTAATAATTAAAATTTACATATTCGATAACTATATTAAAAGATTGATAGAGTCGTACATTCCAAATTAAAATATATGGGGTAATACAATTAATTAATGCGTTTAATAAATAAATAAGTGGAAACTATATTGATCGAAGATAATTTGATTTTGTATATATACGTATTATTTTCTGAGGCAAGGAAAATTATCTTTCCATCAATATAATTATAATTTTCCAAAACAAAATCATTATAATTATAATTAATGTGAAACTCTTTGAAATGTGCTAGTGTTTACTAAATCAGGAAAGATAATTGCGATTAAATGAATGCGGAGGTGTCGTCGTGAAACCAACAACCCGTAGGAGACGCGACCAACTTTTCCACGCAGCCTTGCAACGGCATGGAGGTGGTGAGTGGTCCCCACACCGCCAAATCACAACGTCTCTCACATCTTCAGCCGTACACGTATCCATCACGATTTCAATGAAACACTACGCGTTCAACCGATGTCCACGTGTCAGCATCTCCCGCCTTCAAATCCCCTTAAATACCGGTCAAGGTCAGCATTCCAGAAGCTGCAGCGTAGGCCAAGTATTCTTCTCTCCTTCCCAGCCTTATCTTCTCCGTCACCGGAAAACACTCCCCACCGATCATCGTACCAATATATGTAATGCCGAGGTTTTGCCGACCGGCCGCTTAACTATTTTCTTACGTACGAGTGTTAGTTTCGGTATCCTTCTAAATCTATTATAGTATCTGCTCCACGAACGAGTACTGGTTGAGGGTGTGCTGATTTAATTGCCTTTTTCGGAGTCAAGTGATTTGTGGTGGCCGGAGAATGATGATGGAGAGGGTGGAATTGCCGAGGTGGCCGGAGACGGCGGCGAAGGGGCGGAAGTGGAACTGCAAGAACAGCAGCAACATTGATCTGGCGTACGTCCACAGCCAGGTTCTGAAGATCAGGGCCGAGGATTCGAACATCGGAGAGGACAACGCCGCCGAGATTTTGAGTAAGCTCTCGGCGGAAGCCGCCGGCGAAGTTGCGCCGGTCGTGGTTATGCGCCCCGTTTTACGCGCCTCTCCTCTCGGGGGACACACGGCTCTCACAACGTGATAGAAATCAGTAGTTAATTAAGGTTTGTTTGATGTTTAATTAAGAACATTAGTATCAGTATTAATTAATAGGAGAAATTCCCATGTAAAAACGCTTTGGAATAGAAAAATAGAATCTGTCATGTTTTCAATAACATTCTTTAATTTAAATAGAAATAATTTGTCATAATTTTTTTCAAACTTCAAAATACTGCAATAATTACTCTTATTTAGAAAATAAATATGATATTTTTATTTTAAAATTCAGACACTTTTACTTTTATTCAAAACAATTTCTCATAATTTCTCATCTTTGAGTAACAATACTCAATCAAACAGTGCACTCAAAAACCTATTGAAAAAAAAGGAATATTGTAGAAATATTTTATAGACATGATTACTGTTGTACACACGCTCCTGAATCATTTTTATCTGTCACGGGCAAACTTCACAAAAAAGCATTCACAAGCGTGCAACAATATAATTTAAGAGTAAGCTAAGATTGAATAATCTGGTCGGGTTGGTTGTTGCTCGATCTATGAAGCTTGTTACCGTGTTAAAAGTTATCACTACATTTACGAAGTACATCGGGCATGTGAGTTATATTTTCACATGCTGAAAAGAAATCAGACTGTACAATTAGAGTTATATTTAGGAAAAATTCCCGGGATATGACTAAAACAATTCAAAATATGAGTAGTTATGTTTTTTTCCCAAAGTATGAGTGAAAATATATATATAAAAGAAATTTTCGTTAAATTTTGGAAGGACGGAAATACCCTTTTTCTTAAAAAATGCATTTTACACTACTTACGTCTGGGTAAAAATAATGCACTTTATGAAAGACTCATTGCACAACATTTATTGCACTTTATGTTGTGTTCACGGCACGAGATTTAATGCATTTCATGCAATTAAGTTATGGCACTTCAGTTTATGGGTTTTTGTAGTTTTGATAACTTTAGTTTTTACGTTTAATTAAATATAATGCACTTCATGCGAGAGTTATTGCACAACATTAAAAAATTGTTAGGATTTCATATACTTTTTCATTTTAAATTTGATAATCGCACTTTATTTCAATGTTAATGCGCTAATTATTGCATTTCCTGTCATAACCACATTATACATGGTCATATCATTGCACTTCTTGTACCAATCATTGCACTTCTTGTGATATTCACGGAATTCAATACAAATTATTCATTGCACACGATCTTCAATCGTCTTCAACCTAGGGTTCATCTTCAACCTTGGGTTCGCCTTCAACCTCGACCACCTTGGCAGTGAGCGGCAGTTGGGCGGAGGGGCGGCTGCGCGAGTGAGCGTTGGAGGTTGTATCTAGGGTTGTAGAATATGAATAGGAGGTTAGGGTTTTATAGGGATAAGCTAAAGAGTGTTTTTGTCCATAAAAATTATTTATTAATTATTAATTACGAATTTTAATTAATTATAATGAAATGTAATATTATTTTGGGAAAAAAACTAGTTAGGTCCTAGATTGGAAAAGTGAGAGAGTTTTAGTTATATGGGGATAATTATATCTTATCTTTATTAGCATTTCGATCGATTTTTTTATTCGAATCTAAAATTAGTCATATTTTTATCGAATAAATTGACACCTCGAATTACAAGTGATTAAAACCGAACTGAATGACATCGAAACCGATTAACATCGATCAAATTCTCAATAGTTCGAGTTATGCTTTCTGATTAAATAATCAACCGAACCGGCATGAAGCGATGAACCCCATTAACCTCGACAAAAATCGATACAAACTCGTCGAAAGCAATTTAAATTGTCTACTTCAGTTCTCCGTTTCATCTTTTTTAAATTATTGACCGACTAAAAACTGAAGCGATAAAATTGAAACAGGCAACACATCCAATGATTGGTTGAATTTTGAGGAACGTAGAAGAACGACGACGCAAATTGCATCCATGGCGGCGGCGGCTGATGGAGATGAAAAGATAAGAACTGTAGGTGGCTATGTCTAGATGTACTCTAGCTAGAGAAGTGCGTCTATTCATATGTATATAATTATATATGAATATATAAAAAAATGAATATACATTTATAAAAATGAATATGTATCTAAATATTTGCATATCTTTTTTAATTACTTATTCCTTACATAGATTAATTTTTTACTACGAGTATCTTACCATATCAAACTTCTAAAACTATTCGGCATTTGTCCGAAAATGAATATTCGGGATCCTAACTAAATAGAGACTATTCTTGATCCCGACAATTTAAATCACAAAAATATTACAAATTTTGCAGTTCTAATGAACTCTTTAAAAAATCATGATCGAGATTAAGATTTCTTTCTTTAGTAAATAATCATAATATGTATTTATACATTAAATTCATTGGTCACAAAGTTTCTCAATGAGTCTACCTAGTTTTGAATTTTAAATAATATACGTTACACATCCTTCTTTTAGTGATTTTTATATAATGTTTGAAGTAAATTTCACTAAGTCTTGATTCAAAAATTATACTATTAATTAATGAACTTACAATTAAAAATTATTCTAAAAGTATGTACTAGTGTGAATTCGAGATGATGATTATTACAATAAATTTTATAAGCAGATGATGATGAATTTGGTATAACAATGAACAAAGAATAATCTTGAAATCACTAAATATCAAAGTTAGTGTTTAACTAAAAAAAATACATATTTATATGTGTGATACTTCATTGTCGGGATTACGCGGGATTCCCGATCGGGATCCCAACTTAATCGGGATTTTAATGACGTGATCCCGACTTAATCGGGACGGGATACGGGATCCTCTTGTAGTTTGAATCGGGATCGAGACGGGATCGGGATTTGGGCAATCGGGATCGGGATCATCCCGATCCCACCCGTAGTTTATAATGTTCAAAGAAATTCTATAAGCTAGCATGTGGCATGCAAAAAGTGTTTTGATTCCACTTGAGTTAGAAGTCAATCATCTCAAGTGGATAGATACTAAAGAGTATCTTACACACCACATGTTTAATCTTTGCCACAATTTCATCTTCCACTTTGTTGGCCTCATCAAAGCTGTTAGAGTTTCTAACGTGCCAAATACAATATGCAAATGATCAAGGTTATCCTGAGTCGGTAACCTATTTCGAAATGCTAACCAAACATTAAATGAGAATTTATGGGGGACAGATGACTTCCAAATGAAGCTCATTCATATCCTAACAACACGGCAACTCCGTCGGTTTTCATTTAATCATACACCTTAGAATATAGTAGTTTCCCATAGACACATCTACTATTTAACCACATTATGGTTTCATTGAGGTTATTAAAACGTCCACGAAGTTTAGTCGACTTAGCACCTTTACGAGTCCTATAATAATAATATTTATACATGGGTAAAGTCGGTTGCCAATTCCTCAATAAATGAGTTATATCGACCTTTACGAGTCAAAGCTCACAGAATCGGATGATCGGAAAATGTGTGTGTGAAATGAAAATGGAAAGTAAATGAAGTAAATGGAAGGTGCGTGCTCTCATAGTCATGTTTAAATCCCCCATAGGCCCAGATGCATACAAGCTAGGTGAACTAAGCTATTTTAGTTTGGACAAAGTATATTTGCTTCGGTTAAACTCCAACAAAAATTGTGTTGCTCTCAATAAATCTAAACACTTTATTTCACACTCAAATATTCGACTGAGGAAATTTCTTTTAAAATCACATATGGAGTATCTTTTAAAGAACTATGCAATAGTACCAGTCGAAAAATACCAAAAAAAAATGGCTAAAAAACAGGTCAGTAGCTGGGAGGTAATGGTAATAGGGGATGATAACTAGAACAGTGGTGAGTTTGGTGAGGGAACCTTCGGATTATGGTGAGTTTGGGAGCAAGAGGCTGTTTAACATTGATAAGTTTGTAATGTTGTGATTCTTGGTTTCTAATATAATCAGTCAGTTTCATTTTTAAAAAATAGAATGGTGGTCATTGCGGGCATTGGTCAATGGGCAGATGATGTTCACTGGCGGAGGAGTAACTAGGCCGACGGTGGTGACTGCCACTGGGTTAGATGCAGTAGTGGCAGACAGACTATTGTTCAAGGGTGTTAACATGAATACCCAAAAATTTCAATTTTCTTTTAGGTAGTTTTGAAAAAATCAACACCCAAAACTTAATGACAAGAGCCACCATTGATAAGATGTCACTGGATCTGGATATAAAAGTCTTAAAAGTCATTTTTCGAAAATTCTATAATATAAAGGGGTGTGACATGTTTTTTAAATTACAAAGGAACATATTTAAAATTTATTTATGAAGAGGGTGTGGCACATTAAAAATCTATCTATGTATATTTTACAACTATCAAAATCTAGTCTGATCAAATATGATCTATTTAAGTCTAATCTATTTACGTCTACTGTGATCTAAACTAATTTGTCCTACGATTAAAATTAATCCAATCAAAACATTCTGGTCTAATACTTAGGGGTGGACTGGAACAATACCGGTTCGGCCCGGGCCCAAACATTACCGAGTCGGGCCGGCTTTAGGATGGGACTGAGCATTCAATTAAAAAATCGTGCTGTCGGACCGGACCCAATAAACGAACCCGTAGCCCGCCAATATAACCATTGGTTCGGGCCCTGGGATGGGACCAGGCCTATACAGCAACAGACTTGACCGAGCCGAACTAAACTGTACTAGACCGCCGAACCTAAATTGTACTAGACCGACCGGTACGGTCCATCCCTACTAATATTGCGTAAAAAACATGCGGACAAGTAATAAAAATAAAATATCTACGGGGTACGGAAATAAGATAAATGGACGGAGCAGGCAGTAAGCTCGTAAAGTATGATTGGCAGTTGTCTACTACTCTGTATATAAATTTTGCTTACGACCAACTGACCAATCAACCCCTCCTTCATTCTACCCTTCCTCTCACTCTTGTTTTTTTTTACTGCGGCCGGGTCTCAGCCACATGGCCGGCAATACCCACCACCGCACTCCATTCCTCCGGCCGCCGGAGCTTCCTCTTTCCGGAAGTCCGAGGGATCTGCTGTAAATCACACCCTAATATTTTCCGTTTCACAGTTTCTCCCGGCCACCATCAACCGATTGATTCAACTTGCAAAGTTGGAGTCTTTGATTCAACTTGTTGTTGCGTATGAATGGCAGAAGCTACGGGAGGGAAAGGATTGCAGGAGGCAGAGAAGAGGAAGGAACAGAGCGTTCCTTTCTATAAGCTGTTCTGTTTCGCTGATAGATATGATTGGATGCTAATGGGGTTAGGAAGCTTGGGCGCCGTCGTCCATGGCGTTTCCATGCCCGTCTTCTTCCTCCTCTTCGGCCAGATGGTTAATGGCTTTGGTAAAAATCAAACCGATTTTTACAGCATGACCCACGAAGTCTCTAAGGTAAAACTAGTACGTAGTACTCCGTATATAGAAGTACGAGTACATTTTTTCGTATGTTCTTATAACTGAAAATCTGAAATTGCCTTGAGCAAGGACTAAAATAGTAATACTTCGGAGCATATTTTAAAGAGAAAGTTCTATAAATAGGCCGGTGTAAAGCTAACCAAGTTCATATTTTTAGCACTGTACTGTTATTGTTTTCTTGCGTGAATAGGACTCATTTATTTATTAGAATCATTCTTATTGTACACGCTTTTATAGTACCTAATACTCACCATGTCTGTGAAGTTTTTTTTCTATGAATTCGATTCACAGACAAAATAATTTGCACAAACCTATTTTGGCTGTGACCGGGATTCACACACACAAAAAAACTTTGCACAAACATGGTAAGTATAAAAGTGAGTATAATTAAGGATGGGTACAGACAGTTTTTTTTGTATTTATTACTCCCGCGGTCGCATAGAGAGGTTCCCGATTTGGTTTACGATGTTTGACTTACGATAAAGTAACTTGATCCATGTTTACACTCTGATTATTTTTAGTAAATAAAATTTACATATTCAAACACTACATTAAAACCACTACAAAAACTGATTAAAAATGTAAATTTGATAAATATTGGATTAATAAAGCAAAAGATTAAGAATAGTTTAAGTTTACCGTGTGAATGATGGTTTGGAACCTTTGAATGGGACGAATGTACTACTCCATACTAGTTTTGAAGTTTTTATGATTTTATTCCTTTGATAAGAGTAAAACTGTAAAAAAGTCTCGGTGTGGGGAAAAATACATTTAATCTTATTTTAGAATTTTGTTATGATGTGGTCATATTTTGAGTAATCTATGTATTTTAAAATAACAATACCGTATTTTTCCTCTAAATAGGAATAAAATATGATTGTGTGGTTTCTAAACGATAGTAATTAACTTATATGGAAGGAATAAACAGTGAAATTTAACATTGTTTTTACTTTGAGAATATTGATTTAAGTAAAACTAAAATATAGATAGAGTAAACGAATTGGATATAATTGTTACGTTTGTCCTCAAATAAAACTCATTTACTACTGATTGAGAAAGTTTTATACTTTTAATAGAATCAAATAACTCATTTTTTTGAGAATAAAATAAATGTGTATCTATTTATGCACTTTATCTATATTTTATTCATGTTTGGAGCAAATTCTCTTTTACTTATAGTAAGAAAATTCTTTTTAACTCTATGTTAAACTACCAATCACTCGCATTGCATTAATGTACAAACTACAATAAAAGGTTTTGAGTTACTCTTGAGGTTAGTGTTTCAGCCTTAATATAATAGATCCACTAGAGTAGAACAATTTCAAATTTGAGATGCTTCAAATTTAATTTACAATAAACCAATTGATCAAAATCAAAATTGATGAAAACCGATCAACAAATACGCGGTTTGGTTTGATGGCTACATAATAATTGAGACGAACTTATTGAAAATAACGGAGCAAAAACCGATTAAAGACGCTCACTTTGGTTCTCAATTGTACATTTGCCGAGACTGCATATCAATAAAATCAAACCAAAGAATTAGAAGTAGAGGTAGAATCAGAATCAACTTTTTAGAAGTTGTTTTCTCCCCCTAGCTTCTAAAAAATTATTTCTAGGAACAATTTGGACTACGTAGAAGTATTTCTGCATTTTCACCTAAACACTCCACCCAAACACTCTAATATACTAGCATGTTTCGAACAATAAGGATGTTTTTACTTGGACTGTAATTTGCTGGTCTGGTCTGGTCTGGTTTGATCTGATCTGGTCTGGTCTGAACTGGTCTGGTCTGGTCTGGTAAGGTCTGGTTTCTTTGTATTTTTATAACTATCCAAGTCTGGTCTGGTCTGGTCTGAACTGGTCTGGTCTGGTCTGGTCTGGACTGGTCTGGTCTGGTCTGGTCTGGGGCAAATTACAGTCCAAGTAAAAACATCCTAAATCTAAACACCCCTTAATCTCTATTGTTGGAGATATAACTATGGTTCTATTTATGTAATTGCAGTATGCTTTATATTTCGTGTATCTTGGGCTGATCGTTTGTGCATCATCCTACGCCGGTGAGCGTTTCTTGGGCTTCTATTTACTCCATCATTTTCTTTTATCTGATATATGATCTTATTAAGTTTAATCTTGTTGATAAAATCTCCAAGCCTAGTTCAATCTTATTTGAGAATGAAATAAAAGTAAAACATGCTTATTGTAATCCCTTGTTCATTGATTGAATCGGGAAAATTCGTCCATTTACCCGTTGGAGACCGTTTTTACTTTTTACCCACTTTGATTTATGGGATGTTTGGAACTGATTCTGCTTCTGCTTCTTTTTTAAAGAAGAAGCAGAATCAGAATCAGTTTTCAGAAGTTGGTCCCCCTCAGCTTCTAAAAAAAACTGATTCTGGGAGTAAATTAGAGCACCAGAATCACTTCTGCCCTTTCACCCAAACATTCCAACTTATGCTCATGCTCCCTGAAGTTAGGCCTGTCAATGGGTCGGGTCCGGGCCGGAACGTAATGTTCCAGACCCGGACCCACTAAGTTAATAATGGACCCAGACCCGACCCGTTTACCCGGCGGGTCTGAAAATTTGGACCCGGACCCAGACCCAACGGGTCTCGGAACCGGGTCGGGTAGACCCGTCAAGTATGATACTGCTATAAATTTTGTGGAAATAACAAGACCTCTATGTGAAATGTAAAGAAAAGTGCGCAAACTAAAAACCAAAATATATCCTCACTTTTTTAAAAAATCAAGGTTTCTCATGTTATTACTTTTATCCAATAAAGTATTAGTTCTTGCATATAACTCAACAATGTATGTCGCTTTTTCTCGTACATAGAGCTCGTAGCATAAACTTCAAATTAAGTCACAAATGATGTCTTGGACTATTGAGAGTATAAAAACATATTGTATGGAGTGTATGATAATGATATAATAATATTAATAATACACATTTATCACTAGGATTAAACGGTCAAAATGGGTATTAATTTAATACATACACTAATAGGTATGTATTAGTGTGTGTATTTTCAATTGAAGAATTACAACTAATAATTTTATGTATTATTATTATTATTATTATTATTATTATTATTATTATTATTATTATTATTATTATTATTATTATTATGTATATGTGTGTGCATATGGTTTGTAATTTTTTACTTGAAGTGTTATAATTAATTACTTTACGTATTAGAGTGTGTATACAAATAAGAAATTTTAAACGGGTCCGGGTCCTTAACGGGTCGGAATCATATGTACCGTACCCGACCCGTTTATTAAATATACTAACGGGTCCGGATCTGGGTCCGGGTAAACGGAATAAAATATAGACCCATACCCGTTAAAAATAACCGGGTCCAGGTCGGGTCCGGGTCTAGACCTGACCCATTGACAGGCCTACCTGAAGTAGCAGAAGCAGTTTTAAGAATCAGGTCCAAACCCACTTTGATTTATGGGGTGTTTGGAACTGATTCTGCTTCTGCTTCTTTTTTAAAGAAGAAGCAGAATCAGAATCAGTTTTCAGAAGTTGGTCCCCCTCAGCTTCTAAAAAAACTGATTCTGGGAGTAAATTAGAGCACCAGAATCACTTCTGCCCTTTCACCCAAACATTCCAACTTATGCTCATGCTCCCTGAAGTAACGGAAGCAGTTTTAAGAATCATGTCCAAACATCCCTATATAGACAATGATTTAAGTGGTACTCCAAAAAATGTACGGAAAAGGCATATAAATGAGCTAGTGGGCAATGTACACTATACTAGGAAGTAGGAACAATAAAAGATAAGGCATCGGCTTTGGACCATCTCTTTTTTGTTTATTTATAAATACATAAATACTCCCAGCAGCTCACTTTGTTGCCCCGCACGAATGTACGTGGTCCGTCGCTTATGTCTGCCATTTAATGATTAATACTTCCTCCGTTCCTTTTTAATTGCAACAGTCCACTTTTCACGCTTGTCAACGCACAAGTTTGACCGTTAATATCTTTCATTCCTTATTAGTAAAAAAATTAAAAAAATCAGATTTTGAAAATTTTTTATGAGAGGAATTTAAAAATATTTTTTAAAAATTTAATTTGTAATACATTAATTAATAAAATGTAGTCAAAGTAGAATCTGTGAATAGTGAAAAAAGTCCTACGTTGCAATTAAAAGAGAACGGAGGTAGTACTTCTTTTTTATAGGTATAGGGGTGTTTGGTCACTACTCTATCAGCCAATTTTTGGCTAATTTGATTTATATTGGCTTTTTGACCAGATCAATCAGCTAAAAAAGTGTTTGGTTAAATGACTTTTTCATTTGGCTTTTCAAATTTCTATAAAATGCAGCGTTTCCGTATTTCTTTTCCGTGTTTTTCCACGCACGCCACGCATCAAAGAGAAAAACAGAAATCGAGGGGCCAGGGAGCAAGCATGCATTTTACTCCGTATAAAATACTCCGTATTATTTTATACTCCGTAACATTTTTCAATTTAGCTAGCAGGGAAAGTCATCCGAAGAAGGTTTTTGTTTTTTTTAAGAGTAAAAGAAGGTTCGTGTTTTGTGCATAAATTAAAATATACTTCGTACTATGTACACTTATATGCCAAAAGAATAATAGTAGTAATAAAAATATCCTTGATAATAACTATAACAATAATAAAAATAAAAATTGAAACTAAAAATTAATCAATGCCATTAATAATCATTTAACATGTTATCAGCTGATTGTAAACAACCATTTAACTAAACATCGTCATTTTATGAATTGCTAATACTATCAGCTAATCAAAACAGCCAACAGAATCCGCTCTTATGAATCAACCAACACAATCAGCCAACAGCCAATTGCCAAACACCTCCATAGAGATTTTTCCTACTAGTATAACATTACTAAAATGAAATATGTGCACAAAATTATGACTAAAGTGATTATATAAACTTTTCATAGCCATTATTATAATGTAAAATTGAACACAATAATAATTATTAAAAGTCATTAAGTCACAATAAAATTCAATTACTAAAATGATGATTGTCCCTCATCCTTAGATGGAATTATTAAAATGATTGTACTATCATCCTTGGATGGAATTACTAAAATGATTGTCCTTCGTCCTTAGATGGAATTATTAAAATGATTGTACTATCATCCCTTAGATGGAATTATTAAAATGACTCACTTTACCCAGCGTTATTTTACATGAATTTACTAAGTCACTCATTTTTATATCATAGGTTTAAGCAAGTCATATTTCAGTGAAATTATAATAATAAATAAGTGAAATTAAAAAATGCACCACAATTGTGTTAAGTATTTTTTAACATTTCAGTACAAATGTGTGACATAACAAAAAAAATTGCCTCCAAATTAAAAAGAAACAACTGAACTATTTTCAGAGAGAATTATTGTTTTTAGTTTAGTCAAAAGTAAATTTGTTTCAGGGCAGTCAATTTTTTTTGTATTTAATATAAAAATTGTTCCTTAAATATTACTCGTTTTAGAATATAAATTGTCGACAAAAGTATTGCTTAGTAAAGTGAATATGCACATATCTAGTAAAGTTAATATGCACATATCTACGTAGCCATTATAATGTAAAATTGAACGTGATCACGGTCACTATATTATAAAAAAAAATCAACTACTTTCACTTCGGTTATATATGTCATTACTTCTTTATTTTTATGGTCACTCTTAATAAAAGTTTTTCTTCACAGTTACCATAATATAAAATAAAAGATGTTCATGAATCATGATCACTAAAATTACTATTATAATATTAAAATACAAATACTTATATTTTTGTCCACTACATTTAAATCGATCATATATTCATCATTATTTATAGTAACAACAAGAGAATTCCTTAAACAAAATTAAAAGAAGAACAAAGATTATAAACAAGACTAGGATGATGCTATTTCCAAAATAGGATTTTTAGAAGATTTAGAGCCCGTTGGTTACACTGAAATTTGAAATTGGCTGAATTTGCTAAATTATGAAAAGAATTATATTAAAAATATATTTGATTAGTAAAATAAAGACAATGTTATCTGAAAAATAGCTAAAAGGATCCTCAACAGAAACATCAACTAATTTAGCTAGAAAAGTAACTCATTTAACTTTTGATTATAATTAATTTAACTCTTGGTCCTACGAGTTTTATGTAAATTTCACATTTAGTCTATGTCTTTCACTTTATTCATTTTTGATATTTGACTAATGTTTCTATGACAATTTGTGGTCATTCAATTCTCCGACGATTTTAACCACCGGAAACATTGTCGGGAAAACAATATATGTGTGAAAAAACAATAGTCATCTTAAAAGTAGACAAAATGAAAGACATGGACCAAATGTGGACTTGACATAAAATTCGTATGACCAAAAATGATTTTTTTTAATATTACACAATTTAGCATGCGAAATAAAAAAAATATGCATTCGGTGAAAAAGTTGACTGATTAGGTTGATAAGTTGAAAACAACCATTACCAAAAGAGCTCTTATTAGGTGTTTGGATAATTAGATTCACTTGTTAAAACCTTTTCTCCTCCTTAAAGTAGATTCATATATTAGAGTATATGAATGAAAATGCAATAGTACTTCTGAGTGCTCCAAAGTACTTTTAGAAGCAGTTTTTTAGAAGTTGGAGGAGATCTTTCGAAAAACTCATTCTGATTCTGTTTAATAAGTAGAAACACAATTAATTTCAAACATCCCTTAATTCTATTTTTGTGTTTGACCTATATTTTAATTTATTAATTTTAGAGAAATCACCCTAAATAGGAGTAAATGAAGTTTGAAATTTCAAAATAAGACTACTATGTTTTTCTTTCCGAAATAGAAGTTGTTACTGTCATATATGAAAAATCCTGTCATGATTGAAAAATACTATAATTAATTATAATAAATATTGCCATATAAAATGCACTGTACTACAACTATTGGCCGTCATGCGACAGTAAATACTGTTAGTCCTATTTGTGGAATAAAAATATAGTAGTCCTATTTTGGAATTTCAAACTCCATTTACTCCTATTTTCCGAAATCTCCCCTAATTTTATGTTTTTATATTTATGTTGAGCAATTTTTATAATGAGAATGGGGGAGGGGTGCAGAGATAGGGTGTTGGATGTACAGCGGGGAGAGGCAGGCGGGAGAGTGGAGGAAGAGATATTTAGAGGCGGTGTTGAAACAGGACGTTGGCTTCTTTGATACCGACGCTCGAACCGGCGATGTTGTCTTCAGCATCTCCACCGACACGCTCCTCGTCCAAGATGCCATCAGTGAGAAGGTAATATTCACAAACTACTTACACAGAGAGTATATGTATAAATGTATACTAATTACTTCTCTTTTATTGCTATTTGAGCGATTAATGGTAGAATTTAGTATCTCTCCCACCCACCATTTTTTAGAAGCTAACTAAAGGTGGAAACTTTTATTCATTTTGAGCTAGAAGGCTTGAGTTGAGGGAAGCTTGTTGAAATATTTGTTTCATAAAGTAATGTATTAAATTAAATTAAATTAAATTACCCCAAATTGGCATTGGTATTGATATAGTTGAATTTGGGAATGCAGGTGGGGAATTTCATTCACTACCTATCTACATTCTTGGCGGGATTGGGGGTTGGTTTTGTATCAGCATGGAGGTTGGCTCTGCTCAGTGTGGCTGTAATCCCTGCGATTGCCTTTGCCGGCGGATTATATGCTTATACTCTCACCGGTCTCACGTCCAAGAGCAGCCAATCATATGCCAATGCCGGAATCATTGCCGAACAGGTCACATTCGCTTTTCATTGCTCTCATTACTCATCACTATGAAAAAAAATTCTTCTCTGTTTTTTTTTTTAAAAAATCCTTCTCTGTTTGTGTGGTATTTTTAGGCATGCCCTCCTACAATTGTTTTTAAGGCATGCTCTCCTACAATTGTTTTTAAAGGATTTTGCTTTATGATTCTAGTACAGTACTACTACTACTCTAAAAAGGAATTGTAAAACATTTTAGGTTCATAACATATAACTTGCTGGTAACCGTCAAATATTGGTTAATTGGAGAAAAAAATTAGACTCGTTTGAAAAGCATGACACCTTTTTGGGGACGGACAGAGTATTTAATTTAATACTATTTAAAAAATCATCGGTTAGTGCAGGCTATCGCACAAGTTAGAACAGTATACTCCTATGTTGGTGAGAGCAAAGCTTTAACTTCATATTCAGATGCAATACAGAGCACTCTGAAACTTGGGTACAAGGCTGGGATGGCTAAAGGGTTGGGCTTAGGTTGCACCTATGGAATAGCATGTATGTCATGGGCCCTTGTTTTTTGGTATGCCGGCGTGTTCATCAGGAATGGTGACACTGATGGTGGAAAAGCTTTTACCGCAATATTTTCTGCCATTGTTGGTGGCATGTAAGGCCATAAACCAATTGAACAAATAAATAAAATATACAAACTAATATGTAAGATCTTGTCTCAATCTGATTATATATTGTAGGAGTTTGGGTCAGTCATTTTCCAACCTTGGGGCCTTTAGCAAAGGGAAAGCAGCCGGATACAAACTAATGGAGATTATCAAGCAAAAACCGACGATACTTCAAGATCCCATGTGTGGGACATACCTAACTCGGGTACGTGGAGACATTGAGTTCAAAGATGTAACCTTCAGCTACCCTTCAAGATCTGATGTCATTATCTTTAGAAATTTCTCCATTTTCTTCCCTGCCGGAAAGACAGTGGCAGTTGTAGGCGGCAGTGGCTCAGGGAAGAGCACCATCGTTTCACTAATAGAAAGATTCTATGATCCTAATGAAGGTACTTTATAAATTGTTGCAAATTTGGAGAGTTGTGAAAATTGAAGTTTTCCTAAATGCAACTGAAATAGAACTCTTTGAGATATGACTTCATTGTCTCTACTGCTACTGCAAAAATACCAGTGTGGCCAGTGCAGTGTAAAATTTAACACAGCCATCGTCTGTCACTGCAAAAATGTCATCATAATCACTATGCAGTAAACGTCCTATATGTGTCTATTAACTTATTGCAGTCATTATATTGACATTATTTCTTCTATAACAACATGCACTTGTACAAAAATGTGGAATAGTTGATCATTTTGAATATGATATAGGTGAAATATTATTAGACAACGTCAACATAAAGGCCCTGCAGTTGAGTTGGTTGCGAGGTCAGATTGGATTGGTGAACCAAGAACCGGCACTATTTGCGACCACTATTCTTGAGAATATACTATACGGAAAACCCAAAGCAACCATGGCTGAAGTTGAGGCGGCTACATCTGCTGCTAATGCTCATACCTTCATTTCCTTCCTTCCCAATGGTTACAACACTCAGGCTGGTTTTCTATGAAGCCATTACTGTTTCTTGTTTTCTTCAAAATAACCTGCATATTTTCCATCTTTGCTTAATCTAGGCTCAGCTTGGTACCCTTATTGGGTCTGTCCTACTTATTTTACTTAATCTGCTTGTAAGCATAATACGTAAAATAAGTGGCTTAAATTAGACCATCACAATTCCCGGGAAGACTTATTTTGCTGAAATGACTAAATCTGAATATGCTAGAAGTACCTCCATCTCAACTAAATACACCAGTCAAGACCTTCATCTCAACTAACATCAGTCGAAAGGTACCCATTTTGCTTATTTTGATTGTGCTTTTGTTATGCCCAGAAGTACCATAAGCTGAATAAGCTAGAACATTCAAATAAAACTCTTTTTATTATTTTGATGTGACAACGAATATTCATAAACTATATAAAATTATAGAAACTATAGTGTATGAACATTTGTAGTAAATTTCAAAAAATGGAGACCTCTCCGACATCTACACCCCAAACCCTCTAACCCCTCCTTGTTTTTTAGACCCGCCTTTGTTTCTGTTTATCTCGGATTCTGAACTGGATGTACCAGTGGCGGAGCCTGAAAAATGACTTAGGGGGGTTGAAACTTAACTAAATACATAACAAAAAAGGTGGATCATTTTTAAATAATACTTGAGTTGAAATTTTCATATGTAGCATAGATATGGTAGTTTAAATGAGACTGATAGAGTTATAGATTTGATATATGTGTCATATACATCATAGACTTCGCGTAAGTGATAAGTGAATTAGACGTTATTTTTAAAATTTGAAAATATGATCAACATTACACATAAAGTTTAACTCATTTCAAGTTTAAATAGTACCGAGGAGTCATTACCTTTTACTCGTAATGAGGCACACGAGCCATAATATATCAAATCAAAGGTATTCTAGTGCTCTATATTCTCAAACTTTCAGGGGGTCGGCTGAGCACCCTGACCCCTGGCTCCGCCCTTGACTGGAACCATTGTTTGCATGTCTACATGAGACTCTCCTTTAATATTTATTTACGAGTTAATTCAAAATTGAAGGTGGGAGAGCATGGGGTCCAGCTCTCAGGTGGGCAAAAGCAGAGAATTGCAATTGCCAGAGCCATGCTAAAGAACCCAAGGATCCTACTGCTAGATGAAGCCACTAGCGCACTTGATACTGGATCAGAGAGCATCGTCCAGGAAGCTCTGGACCGGCTCATGCTTGGCAGAACCACCATAGTTGTTGCTCACCGCCTCTCCACAATCCGAAACGTCGATTTCATTGTAGTCATACATCAAGGCAGAGTTGTTGAATCGGGAAGCCACGAAGAACTGTCAGGAAAACCTGGTGGGGCATATTCTTCCCTAATCAGACTACAAGAAGCGGTTGGGACACATGACCCATCAACACACCGGTCACGCTCATCACGTCTAACCCATTCCTTGTCGACAAAGTCACTGAATCTCCGGTCCGGCAGTTTGAGAAACCTGAGCTATTCCTACAGCACCAGCGCTGATGGTCGGATAGAAATGGTATCGAATGCTGAGTCTGAGAAGAAGACACGAGCCCCGCATGGCTACTTCTGTAGGCTACTTAAGCTGAACTCCCCAGAGTGGCCCTACGCGGTTATGGGAGCCGTCGGGTCATTGTTGTCCGGTTTTATTGGTCCGGCCTTTGCCATAGTTATGAGTAACATGATTGAGGTTTTCTACTACACAAATCCGGTCACCATGGAACAGAAAACAAAGGAGTACGCATTTGTTTACATCGGGATAGGGATTTATGCAGTGGTCGCTTACTTGATTCAGCATTACTTCTTTAGCATTATGGGGGAGAATCTCACCACAAGGGTGAGAAGGATGATGCTGGCAGGTAAAAATATTTTTTACCCTGTGACATTACTGTTTGTGTGAGATATTGAAGTTTTTGCAGTTCTCTAAGAGCAAAACACGTCAATGTGCTCACTTTAAAGCACATTAGCTTGATGAATGATGATTCTCCCATAATTTAAGATGGAAGAATCCCCACCATGCCGGTGTGCTCCATAATGAACACATTAGCATGCTTACCAAGTTCTTTACAACATAGGTCAGTTATGTTTTGATAGGAGAAAATTGAATTAGCGGACAAAAATAATCTTTTATACGTAGTAGTACAAAACACAAAATAAAATAAACTACCATTGATGACTGCTGCTGGACTCTGCCAAAGCTCTATCATCTGTATTAAACACTACATTATGAAAACATACTGTCTTTGATGGTCGTTGCTGAATAATTACTTGCATTAAATATTGTCATAGTGATTAGTGATATAAAAAGATCTTAATGGTAGCAACATGCTATAGCAAAAAGTGACAGTGGCAAAGTCCAAGGTGAGAGTGCAGCGAGGTGACAATGAAAACAATATGAGTGTAACAGATTCTAGCAGCAGTGGTGACTGGCGGTTGATATTATTTAAACTATATGACTTTATGCAATTGAGCAGATTGGGGAAGGGTAAATATGAAATAGATAGTCTTATTTATGGAATAAAGTCATACATGATCTTATTTTTGAATTTAAACTTCGATTTTTCTCAGTTGGGGTAATTTCTTGTTTTCTAACTGTGAATAATAATGACTACAGCAATTTTAAGAAATGAAGTGGGATGGTTTGATGAGGAGGAGAACAATTCAAGTCTTGTTGCAGCTCACTTGGCCACAGATGCTGCAGATGTAAAATCTGCCATTGCTGAGAGAATCTCAGTTATACTGCAAAACATGACCTCTCTACTCACCTCCTTCATTGTTGCATTTATTGTGGAATGGAGGGTCTCCCTACTCATTCTTGGCACATTTCCACTCCTAGTCCTTGCTAACTTTGCTCAGGTACCCACCCCATTCAGCTCTCATGCACTCATTTCTTTGCATGAAAAGACAAAAAGCAAAAATAGTCATGCTTCTTTGACCGGCTGCATTTTTAGCTGTCTTGGAAATGGTTACGTCAACCGTTTTTGGCTTATTGGGCCATTTTAGTGCTTCGGAATGATCGAACAACAATAATATAGGATTTTTTTAAAAAAAATATTACTAAAATAAAACTTTTTTACTCAAATGTGACTAATAGTTACTAAGATGTAGTGTCATGGTAACTTAAGTTTAAAAATTGAACCTGAGTTACTATGATTTCATTACTACTCTAGTTACTAGTCTTTATTTTAATCATAAATATGTCAATATTTCTAAAATATATTCCGTATACAACTCCATGTATTTCAGTGGCCAGTTGGCATGGCTGGTTGGTCTCAAAAAACTTCTATTTGAAAAGGAAATACAGTAGTGGCTTTTCTTAGCTTGTAGGCAAATTCATAACTTTCTGATAATTGTTTTGGTTTTGAAAAGGTGTACTAATGTCAGCCTTTGGTGTTAGCTCTCCAGTACATTTCAACTTCATCCAACTTCACACACTAACTTTTGATGTTTGTTTTTTCCCGTTTTAACAAAGTAATTTTTATACTTGTGGGAAGCTTGAACATTATTTTACTCCGTATCTCATTATCTACTATTGTTAAGCCATTCAACACCGACCAGTAGGGCCGTAGGGGTGAGCACCGGTCAAGACCGGACCGGAATCGGTTTGGACCGGAACCGGAATCACCAAAGTTATTGGATTGAAGACCGGACCTGAAATTATCCGGTCCAAGACCAGTCTGGACCAGATATTTCCGGTTCTTACCAGACCGGACCGGATCGGTATGACTGGAATTTCACTTTTTTTAGATGTTTGATCTTAAAAAAACGGTTGTGGTTATTTAAAAATGACTTTATTAGCTTAAAATATCTATTAATTTTATGTTTTTTTTTATGTAAGATCACTTCTCATTTAATCTTTTTATAGTAAAACAAAAAATTTCTTAATACGATCTATTAATTAGGGCTAGGACATTGGAACCAAGAACCGGAGAACCGAACCGGACCGAACCGTTATGACCCGGTTCGGTTCCAACTTTTATTAGTTATTTGTTAATGGTTCGGTTCTTATTTTTTTTATTAATAGTTCGGTTCTTGGTTCCTGAAAAAAATATGTACCTGGAACAGTTAAGGAACCGTTATATATAATAATTAAAATTTTATATATTACTTATTAGTATATTTTTTTTTGTATATTTACTTAGTTATTTTTATATTACATTCACTATTTTAGTTTAGTTATATAAGTATTTAAAACTGTTATTCATTTTAACAGGTTCTCTTGGGCTTCTTAGGAGTTACGCCTCTTATTAGGTCCAAAATTATTATTTATTTTTATATTACATTCACTGTTTATATATTAAAATTTCCAGTTTATTATGTATTTATGTTTTAAACCAACCTTTTGAGATTGGAAATGATGTTCAACATTTTTGTATTGTAAGTTCAAACGTTGAATGTCTTTTTTTGCATAAATTTAACCGTAATTTATAATTTTTTTAAAGACTATGAACCATCAAATGGCAAGAACCGAACCATTAAGAACGGTTCGGTTCTTTATCGGTTCTATAAAATAATTTATAAGAACCGAACCATTAGTAAAATTTCATATTTTCAAACGGTTCCATATATTTTGCTTAGGGCTGGACTCGGGCCGGTTCGGGCCCGGTTCGGGCCTGGGCCCGGCCGGGCCTCGGGCCAGAAAAGGGAGGCCCGATGAGGAGTTTAAAAATCTGAAATCTATCTTTTCAATATGAAAGAAGAACAGTTCGTATGAACAAGAGAAGAAGAAGAACTTGGCAAATTTTATTCAGAAAATGATCTACTTACAAAAGTAAGCGTACAGCTAGCTATTTATAGTATACAGCTGATAAATATCAGAAACTACTTCTAACTAACTGAACGACTAACAGACTATGAAGCTTCTAGAGAATACTGGAAGTTCCCACGTAGGCATGTGTAACTTCAAGGTCAACTGGGGCGAGTACAACATGGTCAACGCAGGCTGATCTAATATGTCAAGACCCCCCCTCAAGAGGAGAGTGCAGATTCTGAACGCTCATCTTGGATAACAAAAAGTGAAAAGAATGTCGTCCAAGAGGTTTTGTGAATAAGTCTGCTAGTTGATGAGTTGTTGGAACATAGAGCGCATGAATGGTGCCAGATTTAATGCATTCTCGGATGAAGTGGCAATCAATTTCCACATGTTTTGTTCGTTCATGATGTACAGGATTTGCTGCTAATGCCAGTGCTGATTTACTATCACAAAAGATAGTTGCTTTGGAAGTGGGTATTCTGAAATCCTTGAAAAGTTGCAATAAACCAAGGACTTCTGCAGAAGTAGCAGCAAGAGCTCTGTATTCAGCTTCTGCAGAGCTTCTAGATACTGTGTTTTGTTTCTTGGATTTCCATGAAATAAGTGAGTTTCCAAGAAACATGCAATAGCCAGTTATGGAACGTCTAGTGTCAATACAGCTTGCCCAATCAGAATCTGAAAAGCCTTTCAGTTGAAGATCAGAATTAGAAGAGTAGATGAGACCTTGTCCTATAGATCCTTTCAAATACCTGAGAACTCTGTGTGCAGCTGAGAGATGTGAGTGGCCTGGTTTGTGCATGAACTGTGCTAAAGTGTGTACAGCAAAGCTGATATCTGGTCGTGTAATGGTTAGATAAAGTAGTTTCCCTACTAAAGACCTGTATTTGGAAACATCAGTGAGATAATGATCATCATTACTACTCAATCTAAGTTTGCTATCCATGGGAAAGGAGACTGGTTTACAGTCTTGGTATCCAAAGTTTTGTAGTAATTCCATGGTGTATTTGCGTTGACACAGATATATACCAGCAGATGATCGAGCCACTTCCAATCCTAAGAAGTATTTGACAGGTCCAAGGTCCTTGATTTTGAATTTGCTATTAAGAAATTGCTTGATATTGTTGATTTGTTGCATGTTGGAGCAGGCAACAAGTATGTCATCAACATATACCAAGAGAATCATGGTGAACTGATCAGTGTGTAAAGTGAAGAGAGAGTAGTCTACTTGAGACTGTTCAAAACCATAGTTCTTAAGAGCAGTGGACAGTTTAGAGAACCATTGTCTACTAGCCTGTTTGAGACCATACAAACTTTTGAGAAGCCTGCACACTTTGTTCTTCCCTGGAGAATGAAAACCTTGAGGAATCTGCATGTAAACTTCTTCATGGAGATCTCCATGAAGAAAAGCATTGTTGACATCCAATTGTTCAAGAAACCAGCCTTTTGAAGCTACTAATGCAAGAAGAACCCTGACTGTGGTGAGCTTAGCCACTGGTGAATAGGTATCAAGAAAATCAAGGCCTTCAATCTGAGTGAAACCTTTTGCAACAAGACGAGCTTTGTATCTTTCTATGGTTCCATCAGCATTGTATTTTATCTTATATACCCATTTACACTTTATGGAAGATTTTCCAGGTGGCAAATCAGTGATAATCCAGGTTCCATTAGACTCAAGTGCATTAATCTCCTCTTGCATAGCCTTTCTCCAATTGGCATCAGAAGAGGCTTGTGTGTAGGATGTGGGTTCAATATTATGGGAGATGGCAGCAGAGAATGTTTGGTGGGGAGCAGAAAAGTTATGAAAAGAAATGTAATGTGCCATGGGGTGAAGAAGTTTACCTGACTTGGTCTTTGATTGAGAAGAAGAATGTATTGATGATTCCATGTGAGTGGTTGCACATACATAGTCCTTCAGTCTGGAAGGAATTTTTCTTGATCTTGGAGGTCTGACAGAAGAAGTTTGAGAGTTGATGTTTGGTTGTGTGTCATTTGTAGTGGGATCAGTGATAGATGAAAGGGGAGGAGGGTTGGAATTAAGAATGTTGTTTTCTGAGGAAGTATTGTGTTCAGTGTTGTTTGTTGATGTAGGATTTGAAATGGTGAGATCTGGGATAACATTGGGAATGACAATGTCATTATTCTGGGAGGAAAGATTGTGAAATGGGAAAGAACTTTCATGGAAAATGACATCTCTGGAAACAAAAGTTTGACCAGTGTGGAGATCATAAAGTTTGTAACCCTTAGTATGTGAAGGATATCCAATGAGTATGCATTTCCTTGCTCTGGGTTGGAACTTATCTTTATGACCAATGAGATTAGAAGCAAAGCATAAGCATCCAAAAGTTTTGAGAAAAGAATAATCAGGAATTTTGTTGTGGAAAACTTCAAAAGGAGACTTGTTGTTTAAGACGAGAGTAGGAATTCTGTTAACCAAGTGAGCTGCAGTGAGGATGCAGTCACCCCAGAAAGACAAAGGAAGTTGGGCTTGAAATCTAAGGGCTCTGGCAATGTTTAAAAGAGTTTGGTGTCTTCTTTCCACTACTCCATTTTGTTGTGGAGTGTAAGGGCAGGTAGTTTGGTGTATTATGCCTTCATTAGAATAAAAATCTGATAGGGAAAATTCAGTTCCATTATCAGTTCTAAGAATTTTGATTTTGGTGGAAAATTGTGTTGAAACCATTTTGTGGAAAGAAATTATGTGATTTCGGGTTTCAGATTTGTGTTTCATCAAACAACACCAAACAACTCTAGAGAAATCATCCACTATGGTAAGGAAATACTGAAAACCATCATAAGTAGGTATGGAAAAAGGACCCCAAACATCACAATGTAAGAGATCAAATGGTTTTTCAGACTTTATTGAACTTTTAGGAAAAGATAATCTGTGTTGCTTTGCCATAGGGCAGATATTACAATCTTTATTGTCAAAGTCAGAAATATGCAATACATCCTTCATTATTTGAAGTTTGGAATCAGAAATATGGCCTAATCTCTTATGCCAAAGACTAGAAATGACATTATGAGAAACATGTGAAGGATTATAGACTTGAATAGACTTCTGTGGATGCAGTATGTACAACCCTTTCACTAGATCAGCAATGCC